CTCCCGAGCCCGCCCGGGCGCCTCTGCGCCGCCGTGCTCGCTGCCGGCACCGCTCGCAGGTTGTGTTCGACTTGCCGCGGGTTGCCGGTTTACTGTGTGATGCGCTGCCCCGGCTCCCCCGCCCCCCTAGTAAAAACCTATAGAAAGACAGACCAGGCGCTTTGCTCCTCTTCCAAAGCAGCACGGACCTCGCTTTTTTCCGTGTAGCAATTTTTTCGCGGTAGTATCTGAAGCTGTGTTGGATGAAATGCCTAATTATTTTGTAAACACTGTGCTTTAAGGTAGGGCTAACAGTTTGTATTACGCTTACTTTCGCATCCTATGCACTTTTTAACTTCAACTAGCAAAAGTGAGCTTGCTCTTCAATGAGGAGTGATGGACTTATATTAACACGGTAATTGCTGTGTATGTCTGCTTTTATTTTTCTGAATATTCAGAAGTTATTTTTTTATTATTCCGTAGCGTTTTCCCAGTAGAAAAACAGAAAAAATGTTCGATATTAAGGCTTGGGCTGAATACATCGTGGAGTGGGCTGCAAAGGACCCATACGGCTTTCTTACTACAGTGATCTTGGCCCTCACACCATTGTTCATAATCAGTGCAGCGCTTTCATGGAAGCTTGCAAAAATGATTGAGGCCAGGGAGCGAGAGCAAAAGAAGAAACAGAAACGCCAAGAGAATATTGCGAAAGCCAAACGAACAAAGAAGGATTAAGTGGGCAAAAAAAACCCAAAACCTTCCTTGTGCAAAGAATCCACTTTTTTAATGAAACACTTGTACATTTTGTGTTGTAACTGTCCTTTGATACTTGATCCTGTTATTTCTTGAAGTATGAAATTTAATCCCTTCAGTGTATTTTTTCTGCTGAGATGATTTGTGTTAAAGTTTGCCCAAGTGACACTTGTTACAATCATTTAATCTACTACTTGTGTTCTAGTGCATGTTGCTTTTCTAAATTTGCATGGTAAATTAAAAAAATTAATCTCTTGGGTGGCTCTGGAGGTAGATTATTATTTTTCCTTAGCTAAGCTATGACTTAACAAGTGTCTTAAAATTGCCAAATTATGAGGAAAATGTGAATGGTTAACTGGGTTACAGAAAGGCAAGTTTTGGTATACCTTCAGCCGAGCTGTAGAGAGAAGCTAGTTTCAGAGTTGGGTAGCATACCTTATGGGTTTCCTTTAAGGACAGTGCATGGGGCCCTGCTGCTCATTCAGCTGTGTGCCCTTGATAGTGGGGCTTGTCTGCAAAAAGACCCTGTTTCCCAAACTGCCAGCCATCAACAGTCTTTAAATTCAGCCCAATCGCTAGGAAACGGATTGGTTCTTCTTATGACCTTCATTTGTCTTAAGCCACTCATATTCTACAACCTTCATTTGTGTTAAGCCACTCATATTCTACAACATACATGGCTGCGTTGTTTGTTTTTCCCTAATGATTACCTGAACACTCCGCCTGTAACTAATTTCTTTCTGCCTTTGGAAACTTTTTATGCCTCAAAGAATAGCCATAAATGGGGCGAGACCAAAAGCCCGGGTGGCCTAGTGTGCTCTGTCCTGGTGACCTACAGCAGGTGGCTGCGGGAGTACAGGAGCAGGCTGTGCACGGTGGTGACAGTAGTTCTTCCTACGTGCTAACCTTCCGGCTACCTTTGATTGAGGATCTTATGATCTTTGGGATTTTTGTTCTCATGGCCCTTGAAACTGCTGCCTTCCAGGCTGGAAAATGCTGGCATGCTGGAAAAAGTCCAAGTGGGGTTTGTGTTGTAAATATGCCAAAATTATTTAACCTTAATTCCAATTCATGTTTTTCTAACAGAAGTGATTAATTTCTCAAAGCCTAATTTTTATTAATAGTCTAGTTCTAAAGAGTTTGTGGGAGTCATTAGGTTTTTAGACTTAGCATATTTCTAAACAGCAGCACAGAGTTGTGCTTTCTAGCAACTAGTCCTTCATTATGTTTAAAAATAAAACCTTATAATAATACCATTGTTCAAACGAGGAGACCTATGGGGGGACACAAAGAGGGATTTGAAGTGGGAAGTCTAACTGAAATGACTTAAAGTGAACCTGAAGTATTGTTGATGCTCTTTCAATTTTGTTGGTCAAAGCAAGCATTATTAGAATATGACATTTTGGCATCTTATAAATACATGGGATTAAGTCTCCACTGTTTTGTCTCAAGTGTTGTCAAATGTCTAGGTATCAAAGGTGGAACACATACATAGCTTAAAACACATGGAGGAGAACTGATGAAGGATGCACTGCATAAATAAATTTGATACTTTTTTTCAAAAAATTGTGTGGTCTTTATTTTGACTTGAAGTTCTCAAACATCATCTCTAAGCAAATAATCTGCTGACAGTCCCTTGTCCCGAGACCCATGTTATTTTCCAGCAAATTTACCAAGTGCTTCTAACCTCTATTATAGTACTTATATGTAGTTTAACTCAGCCTCATTTTATCCTGTGCTTACTGCTGGCTGCAAATCAAACATTATTCAAATATGTTGATTGTTTTCTTAAATTTAATTACAAGAATGTCTCTAAGGTTAATACAGTGTGTAGTCAGTGTCGTGTCATAGTGATTCCTGTTAATGAAATAAACTTTTCCATCCACTTGCCAGAGGGAAGAACACTGGCACTGCCAAGGGAATTAACGCGCATTCTGAAGAACTATCTCACGCTGACGCCTAGGTTTGGGAATATTTAAGTGTACTGATTAACTAAAATTTATTACATCAAAAACAATTTTAAAAATAAATGAGCCTTCAAGGAAAACGCAATTTAGAATTATTTAAGAAAACTGAGTTAACTAGAAAACCGTCTACCTATGATTTCACCAGTAACTGATGAACAGCAACTATTGAAAACAAACTTACTTAATAACACATCCTGTTTTTCACTAAACCCAAACATTTTACAGTAGTTTGTCATGATTAAGCCTATTTGAACGGTTCCGCAAAAATACACTGAACTGCTTTAATATTACTTTATTGCACACTTGCTTATATATAACAGCTCTTCATGTTATCTGTTAAAATATCTGTCCATTAGCAATATCTGTACATTACAACTCTTTATTTATTATGACTACTACCACTGCCTGGTGGCATCCAGGAGCCTGGCTGAAAGGTACTTGCGGTGCTGGCTGGATCTGGCGAAGGCTCTTTCTTTCCATAGTACGGGGCTGATGCATGGCCTTTAACGTGAGTATGAACTGGTTCAGCAACAAGTCCCTCCTTGTATTCCTTGGCCTGAAGCAGCTTATCCTTTTCAGATACCTCTTTGATTTTCTGTTTCATTTCTTCTCTATAATTTTCATTCTTAAGAATCTCCTAAGAACACAGTAGAAAGATGAATAGATAAATCAGAGGTAAATGCAATACCCAATGTTGGAATAAAACATTTTAAGCAGCCATTGTTTTTCTTAATTTTGTAATCCAGATTTTTTCAGTTACGTAGGTAAAATAAAATGTGGCAAAATTGTTCTTCTACAACTGTGATTTCAGCCCTGGTTTAAAATGTTCTTAATGTTTTGATCATGTTGTTGAAGCAAAACTGCAGTGTGGTGTCTCAGTTTCACTGTTGTATTGAATCAAAAAGGAAAAGAAATTATGTAACACTCATCAACAACTGTGAAAATGCCTGGAAAATACCTTTTAGGTTGCCTTCTATGTAGGTCTTGCTACTATGTATCTATCTATCACTTGCATTTCTTCCTGTAACTTGCTATGCCTCTGACTTTAGGTACCTGGGCCCCAGGGTGCAGTTCTGGGAGAAAAAGATGTGCAACTTTGACTGCTAGTACATAAGCCGAAGCCATGCAAGAAAAATAAATAAATAAAATAATAACTACAAAAAAGCTACTGAGATGGTACTAGTAACTCAGGAGAAATAACACGGGTGAGGGGGTGGGGGGAGGCAGGGGGAGAAAAAAACCCATAAAAACCTCTGAGGGAAACCCTGCCCCAGAGACTCAGAAGACAGCTCAGTAAGGTCAAGGACCTGCATGGTCCAAGAAGCAAGGGAGGCCAACGCACCCTCAGCTGGTGGCTGCCTGGCCAGCAAAGGTGAACTGGGTGTTGTGATGAGGACACTAAACACAACACCGCTTAGGCGAGCTGTATGTTAACTCTAGGTATCTACCAGGTGTGTTAGCTAAAATAAATGTACTGCATTCATAAAGGGTGTAAAATCATGCCTACTGCCTCTGCACAGGTAAAAAAAGCAAATAAAAGTGATCTAGTTTTAGAGGTTTACCTCCACCCCCGATAAACTGAAGCAACTATCTGATGCATGATCCTACTGCCAGGCCAAAAAACCCACACAGGACGTGTATTCAGAGAAGGCTCATGCAACTTGCTGATGCAACTTCATGAAGCTCTGTACTGAAACATGGTTGGGTACAGGTTAAAGCTGGAAATTCACTAATAAAGATGACTTGAACTGGGATTTGGCTGCTTCCACTGAGAAATGCTGAGGCTAATAGTTGAAACAAGTGCCATTACTGGCTTGTCCACAGGTATGTAGAAAAACAGCTGTTAGTAGACCTTGCCATATTGTTCGGAGGAAAACACAAACAACTCCCAAAGTAAACACAAAGAAAAAAGCCCTGAAAAATACTGAAGTCTGTTTTTTATCTACTAGCATATGTTTCCTGTTAGAAGGATGATTTGCAAATTCTGCTAACGAGACTTCTCTGTGCTTTTGTAAGGGCAGATAGTGAAGAGTATTAGAAACAAAAGCAGGAGCGTGATATGAAATTTTATAACACTTTGAACACAAATACAACTTAACTGAAATCAACACCATGTAACAAGGAAGCTGCTAATATCCACACTTAAACTGGGATACAGGAGGAAAAAGGCTGAATTCTCTGGATTACAAGTATATGGAAGAGCTAAGGAGAAACTAGACCAGTACACTTCTCTCTCAGTAGAAGACCATGACATTATTTTAGGAATGGCATTAAAATACCTGTGATATTGCCACGAGTTGACGTAGCGAGTATGTGAATATTTAAGAACATTTAAAAAGACAGCATTTAAAGTAAACCTTATCTTAGAGATATCATGAAAATTAACACCTTTTTATGAGTCCTTATTTGCCTCTATAGTTAAATTCACAGATGCATAGAGCACAGGCAAAACACTTCATGTACCTATACAGCATGAAAACACACAAGCAGCACATAAACGACTTTGCAAACTGAAGGGGGGGGAGGAAATTCTCCCATACTCAAATAAAAATATTGCCAAGCGTAACAAGGTCAAATTTTCAACAGTCAGTATAGCAAAATCTCATTATAACATCTCTCAATTCTGTCCTTGTTTACCACATGCCTGTATAAATCTACCATGACCTTACTGATTTCAAGGGGATTACTCCTATGGTGCTTGTATTACCTCACTACTAAGAAACAAGGTCATATACCTTTGTGATATCTGAAGACTGCATCACAGTCTCTGCTAAAACAGCATGAAATGATTTATTAAAATAGGAACGTAATTCACTTACTGTGAACAGCTACTTACTAACTTAAAATCTTTTCCAGTAATTGGTTTAACAAAGTTATCTTAGTCAGGTAAAAGCAGCTGTAACTAAATTCCAAATGCTCCAAGTCCATTTTAAATGTTGATGTATAATTGTCATCTGGTTGTCAGACTCAAGTAAGGCACTCTTAGTCAGCTTTCACTGGGCAAAGTATAGTTGTGATCTAGTAAAATAACCATGTTGATCTTGAAAAAAACATGAGGAACGATCCTTATTAGCAAACACAAAAAAAAAAAAATACTGAAGTGACTTATTCAGAATCTTCTATACAATCCACACCAGGACAAAAATTTTTCAAGTTGAAAGTATCTGCATGCATCTATTTTATGCATTAAAATCATGCCACTAACATTTACGCTGAAATCAGGGTTCCTATGATCAAACTAAAGAAAATGTGAATCAGGAATCTTGTGTCAATTGGCACATTAGAAAAATTGGGTCAAATAGACAAGTTTTCTTAGCTTAAACATCTTGTGCTTTGATACTGGCAAGTTTGTTCTGTGGAATTCTTTCAACAAGTCCTTCCTGTTTCTAATATTATCACCAGCAAATACTTCATTCTCAATTCTCACTAGAACATATACTTTTTTTTTTAACATTGTGATTGTATTTCTAAATATTATTGGTTCAATTACCATAGCCACTGCAGTTTGAAGCAGTTATGAGACTGAAGTTTCCCTGCCATTACAGGCATTTAAATGAAAGATCCAAATATTTCCAAATTTGAATAGCATAATCAACTTGGTTCAAAATGCAAATTTTAATGAAACTATTGCATGCATATTTATAGAAGGAATTATCCTTAAAACACATTAGAAATGTACAGGATCTTTATAACTATCTTCCAAATTTGGCTTCAGTTTATCTGCATGGCTCACTGCAACTAAGTACAGTGAGTGTTAGAAAGGTTCCTCCTGACACCCTCCTGGTTCTGCAGGGCTTCCTATCACCCGCTGAACAGCAGCAGAGAAGCTGACATGTGCTGGGCTCTTCTACCCATGACAAACAGCCTGTAAATCTGCATGGCACCACAGGCTCTTCCAACTCACCTGCACATGGCTACGTTTTCACTTTGAGGATCCACTGCTACCCAGCCCCCTTTACTGTTTGATATACTGTGAACAGTGACTGGGAGCTAAAAGTCTTTTTTTTTTTCTTTTTTCCTTTTAAATTACATTGGCAGGCTCAGAACACTTATCTTCTCTCCTCCTCCAAGACGAACTGAAATATTTTATAAAATAGCTAGCTTCACTATAAACTGCCCCCCCCAAACATACCATTTAAGTTTTCTGCTGAAATATAAGAACATGAATATGTAATGTACTCTGATCTTTAGGGGAAATACAAAATCATTTTACCCAACACAGAGACCACAGTATCTACCAGGAAATTGCATTTTTCCAAGGGTTAGCTTGTTCTTGAACGTTCTCTTTATGCAAACAAATGATATAAGCCCTTTGAACCTGCAGCTCTCAGGAGGCAGATGGCATCTAAAGAGTATCAGAAATGCCCTCCATCATTTTTAGTAAAAGAGAAATCTATGGATTTGGATTGTGCTGCAAAACTAAAAAATGAAAAATGCCTGAAGACATCCAGCCATGTTTTATACCAGTTGAAATCCCTACATGTAGATGTTCACCTTGAAATGCATCAGCTCCTGGCATCTGGAACAAGATACATACGATGTGGCGACAACTAGGTCCAACTACATGTTTTACAGTTTACTTTTAAGTGGAATGTAAAAGAAGAAATTTTACTCACTGCAGGTAGTGCAGTAGTTACTTGTCCAGCTCTGGTGATGACTGTAAGCTCTACGAGGTTTTTAATCCTTCTAATGATTGGAGCTGCATGCCTTCCCTCCGTAGAAAGGCAGGGTTTAAGAAAGTGATCTCTAAGGTTTTCTTGAAGAACCTAATGTTATTATTAAGGAAATGCCAAAGTGGCCCTATGTGGAGTTCAAGGCAGCTGCTTTTCAGCCAGAAACTGGTGACTTCTGCATATTCTGACATCTTAGTAGTGGTAACAGCTGCATGAACAAAGAATGAAAGACAGCCTGCTCATGGGGGCAATGCAGCCCAAGGCATGTTGCTGTCTTCCAAGTGCGTTGCTGCAAAAGGGATCAGGCTGTATTTCACGCCACTGGCATGAAATTTCTACTTTTCTTGCAAACTATGTTTTTGTTTAAAGGTCTCATTCAACTCTGGCAGCTGAGATGTATCACCAAGCATCCTCTGCTGCTTGGTAACTGTATTCACCTCTACTACACAGAAGGAAAAAAATCTACAAATTTGTCTCTAGTCAAAAGACCTTCAGCGCCTACCAGGCTGTACTGGCAGACCTGCTTTGTACGCTGAAGATTTGGAATGGAACATTCTTTCGCTCTTAAAAGATCTCATATTGTCGCTGCTTTCCCTTTTCTGAATAAACTAGTAGCCTTAGAGAATAAATAAAATTAGTTCCTCCTGGTAGGAGAATGTCATAAATACAAGAGGTTTCTCTAGACTTGCTTGTTCCTCCAGCTGGGGTCTTGCTCCATAGTGAATAGCATTTGCTGAACACTTCTTGCCAGTCTTCTCCACAGGCAAACACCTGTACTTAACCAGTTCTTTCTATCCTGCAGCACCTCCTGAACCCCACAATCTGAGGAACTCCTCCTCCCCTTCCTTTTACTTCCTTACCATTTCCCTCTCAGTCCTCAAACCAGCCATCGGTTATAACACCATTTGCCTCTCGTGGAGTATTTTCAATCTCCTGAAGCAAAGGGCAACCCAAACTTGTGAAC